CCTCCTAAAAAAAATCCTGGATCCGCCCCTGATATGGGATGAGATTTGAGGTTGAAAATTTGCACGGGATGTGGGATTCTAAAAATATCCATCCATTGAGCAAGAATTTGGTTTGGATTGACTGGATTGAAAAAGCCTTTTTGCCACTTTAGCAACATACGAAAAGGGAAATGGAACCAAATAAAATGCACCCCACATTAATTTTGTTTCCTGCTATTGGCCAATTTTTTTTCCTTGTCCCTCGTAACAGTCCCAGAAGTCTTTGCTAAAGTAAAGTTCACCCAGTTCTATTTTCATAATCTTAAGTGGTGAATTAAGGACCCTACTATGAGATTCATGGTTCAGCCATTACATAAACATAACGGTTCGGTAATGCAAAACACAAAACATAAAAGATCAGAACACACTAAGCATCCTTTTGTGACAACAAACCACTCTTTGCGAGGAGAATTAGTTGTTGCAACAGATTGTGGTGACATATTGCAGGGACAATTTGCTTGGTGTGTAGTGGAGAATTTTTGTGAAAATCGTTGTCTCTGCGGCAGAATTTTGTCGCCAGGACAAAAAAGTTACAAAAGTCAAAGCTAGTGTGTGCTGATCAGTAATAAATTATCCTAAAGAATCTGTCTTTGGAAAGGACAGGATATCATAGTTAGATAGACTTCCACGATCAGCCGGTAGAGGTTAGCCAGTCCACATGTATTCTGTGTAATGTATACCTGGGGTCAGTTTAATTACAGTTTTACAAGTTTAATTTACAGGCGTAGCCATTGTTTTATACCTTCCTTGGTCATGTAATGTGTTGATCTGGCAACTGACTATCATGCTATGCAGTGCCAGCTATTCACAATACCTACAAGGCACTAACACTAATTATTATTGGTTTAAAAAACTGATGCAGTGATTATTTACCTTAACTTATACCACCCATGTGCTGGTTTCTTTCAGGATCCAAAACAATTTAAGCTTGCTAATTAGATCCTGGCTAGACACCAGGTAAGATATTGCAAACCTCCCTCCCCCTGTGTTTTTTTGTGTGTCCTATGCAAGCCTTATTCAGGGGCATTAGGGACTGTTCATTTTTTATCAGGTAATTGGGGGGGGGGGCACTGGTGGGATTTGAGGGAGGGCATGTAATATATGGCTTCAAAGGAGAGGGCAGGGAAAAAATGTTGGGGGTAAAGGGGGAGGGAAGCCCCCGCCCCCAAAAGAATTCTTTCAAGTTTTGTAGCGACGACATCTGTGACAACAGGGAGCTTAACAACGGCATTGAAGATGTCACTCAAAAAGTGAATTCGCCTGCTGCAAAATTCATCACTCTTATGGCAACTCTTTTAATAGTTTGTCAAATGTTGGCGTTAAATTCTAAAGAACTGTATCTAAGTTCACAAAAAGACAGAGAAAATCGTTGCCACGTGTTCCTGTCCTCCTTAAAACATGAAATTAGGAATTTTCACATCATCTGGTCATAGTCTTGCAGTGACGGCAAAGACATGTCAAAAAAAGCATGGTGCACATGTAGAGGTGTTGTTTTGCTTATCTAAACCTATTGCTTTTTTGCCGTTCTTGTTGCCGTTGCCGTTGCCGTCATCGTTGCTTTTCGCTCACTACTGCAAACAACCTACCAGAATTACAAAAAACTGCATTTATGATGTTTAGCCTAAAGTTCCTTTTTTCGCCGGGAAGCATGCCTCTGGACCCCCTACCTTATTCTACCCCACCAAAATGCCCCAAACAAAATTAATAATATCCAGTTCCACAGTAAAAAATAGAATGTCTCTCGCCTTTGACCACGTAACTACTGTAGCAGTGTTATTTTGTTGCTTCAGGTAACGTTTGCTTAGTCTGTGTTACCATCGATCGGTTTGAGTAGTGTTGTGGATGTCATAGTGCAAGTGTGAGGGAGAAAAACGCTACAAAACTTCCATTCGATTTATGTTCAGAACTCATTTTTGATAATTTAGTTTTTTCTTCAACCTTTCTTTTTCAGGTTTTCTCGCTTTTTGTTTTGAGGGAGGAGGGGGTCATCATATCCTACAGGAGCTGCCCTTCAAATCCCACTAGCCCCAGTCCCCCCATCCCATAAAAAAATGAACGGTCTTTTAAATTGCAACTCAGATATTATGGCTGAGTCGAACATAAACACAGTTTGCGACGTCATAAAATGTCACGTGATCTTTTTTGTTTTGCGTAAATTGGCGTTTTTGAGTCAAAAAAATGATACGATTTTGGGCAACTATAAAAAGTTTATGTTACCGGAAAATCAACTTATTTTGCGAGGGAAAAATGTTTAAAAAAATCACAGAGATGGTTTTTT